TCCCTTTCTCTTCGACTACAGGAAATGGGTTATTGATAAACATATTGATAAAATCCATGACACTTTGTAAAAACAAAACAAATTTTCCCTCATTATCTGCCTGCTGAGTCCTGAGTGGGCTTCATTTTTAAAAACAGACCTTGATCACACCATTTTATGGAAATAAAAAGTCTTTTTTCTTAAAATATGGGAGAGAAATATTAAAAAATTGTGTTTTATTAATTGTGCTGTAAATTAAAAAAGCAGTTAATTGGATGGGATATTTGGGATTCGTGTAGCTTTACTGCCTGCTCTGGGCTTTATGTGTCAGCTCAACGCCCACTAGCTGTTCCTCTATGGACGAGAGAAATAGACTCCATCAGAGAGTCTCTAAGGAACCCAGGCAGAATGTTCAAATGTTACATATACACCACATGTAGGACAGAAAACCCCTCAACCATATCTAACACTCTCTTATTTTCACCCTCTTTCCTCGTCCAAAGTCCTTCTTTCCTTCACCCCTCTTGGCTCGCAGCACCAGTCCATGTGTGCTTCTGTCAACCACGCTGGAAGTGAGAATGATAGAACTGATAAGAGACGAAATGTATACAAAAAATTAGAAATACTTATTTGCCTCAACAATTAAACACATTAAAGCAGCAAACTTGAATGTTCCCCATTTCTGGAATTTTGTGTGATTTCAGACAGTCAGAAGGGATAGTCTTATAATTGAGTCCAACCAAGAAGACCTTTGTTTGTTTAACTCTAGTTAAAGAAAGAAATGTTTTCATTCCGTCAGGTTTGTGGAAGTTGAAACGAAACCAGGAGCTGTTTTTGTTTAGTTTTGTATAAATCATACAACCCTTGAGTCCTTTAAAAAATGCTAAAAACAGATACTTAGCCCTATTTTTTAACGTGGTATTGCATTTATTAAAAACCATCAACTATAAAATCTAATCCTGTAATGCCGTTTGTATAAATTCATGCTTTTCCTCAGAACTTTTTTATTCCTTATTATGTGACATTCTTTCATTTCTGAACTTTTTTGTATTTCAAATGCAAGCATTTGAAACATCTTCCTGTTTTCAAGCACATCGCCTCATATTGCTGAGGCTGCCTCACACTTGCTTTCATCCCAAATCCTATTCTGAAACCCGCCGCACAAAACACAAGGTGCGGTGTGAAGATGCTTTACCAAAAGGTCAAGGGACCCAAATGTGGCATCATTTGCTTATATACTTTATACATGTATACTGTTGCAGGATAGTCTGATGAGCAACAAGTGGACCAAGCAATACTGGATAAATCAAACAAGGTGAGTGAGGGGTGGTCCTCCCTAGGGTGGGCAGTGGAGTGGCCAACAATCTTACAAAGGTGGCCATGGCCCCACCTGATCCTTCTCAGGGGCACCACTGATAGCGTAATATAATTAGCAAAACAATGAAAACAAATAAATAAATAAGCTTGTCAACTAAACATTCTTCTTCTTCTTCTTCTTCTTCTTCTTCTTCTTCTTCGTCTTCGTCTTCTTCTTCTTCTTCTTCTTCTTCTTCTTCTTCTTATTATTATTATTATTATTAATTCTATAATGTACTGCCTGTCTTCTGGTATTTCATTTCTCTACAGTAGGAGGACCCACTCGTAAACGAGGTTTCATCTCAAGTGGTTTTATTCTTCTAAAATATAAGTTAACGAATAAATAAATTAAAGATATCAATAATGAATGGCATTTGATGGTTTAATGGTTTTCTGGGTTGTGAAGCCACAGCACCAAAGCATTTGCATACAAACACCTTTCTTTGGCCCTAAAAATATTGTTTTATTATAAATAATAAAGTTTCCCAATCCTTATTAATTAACCAGTAAAGAAACTAAATTAGCTGTGTTGTAATTTTCATTTCTATTCATTTTTTTCTGCGCTTTTTGGATCCAACTCCTGGCTTTTGGGAGTGCTTTTAGAAGCCAGTTAACTGTGCATTATGTGAGGGTAGCAGAAATAAAATGGCACACTTTCATGCTAAACACAGATTAAACCCAACTCAGAGGAGCCAACAAGAAGGAATCTATTAAAGGCTTCACGAGGACAGCTCCAAAAATGAGACAGTAGCCGCGCTTCCATCAGCAGAACTTCAAGGTAGATTTACAGGAACCTCCCGACAAGTGCGTGTCTCCACTTGACCGGGCCGGCCGTTTTCAGAAACCTTCTGAGAAGATGCTCAGGGTTAGGGTTAGCCCGGTGACGTAGCTGAGCAGAACCTCTGGTTAACTCATGCTGATTGGTTGTAACTCAGTAGGAAATGACATCAGCACACGTCGTCTAAAACAACTGGCATTAACGGGGCTTTGTTTTCTCACAGAGCACTATAAAAAACAACTATTCCTCTGGTCATTGAACACCACATTTTACATCAAACAGCTGCTCTCATCCTCTGAATTGATTAAATTATGAAATACTTCGACAGAATAAATGTTTTAATATTATTAATGTTACTGTGAACGCTTTTTGGTGCTGATCAGTGACATCACTCACTGCAATAGCAGTCTCGATATGCTGACGTCTGTGCAAAGTTCTGAAAGGGCTGAGAGGTCTGGGTCATCCTATCTCCTGGTCAATTTCCCCATCCCAGGAATTACCCTGGAGTTCCAGTAATGGAAACACAGTTATTGTGCACAGGCCAGCGGCTCTGAGACTTAATTCCTCAAAGATTCAAATCTGAATTGATGAGGTCAAAGGTCAGGAGAAACTAGTTATAAAACATTTTTTTTAATTTCTTATTCATAAATGTTGCTTAAAACTTACAACTAAAGCAAGCTGCTGTAACTTTTGGCTGTAAAGAAAAGTGCACAGTAGTTTCAGCTAAGACAGAGCATCTGTTACATGAGCCTCATGATGGATCTGGAGAAAATAAATGGATTTTTGTTCTTGATGCTGTGGAAATATCATGTAACACCTCTTTCCCTGCTTCTCTAATGATGACAACAGAGGATATCTGTCTCTATGGCCAGGGTTAGATACATTTATCTTCTTATGGTATCTATTACACACAGGAGTTCTATGGATGTCAAATGAATTACGACTGCAGATGACCTTTAGTAGAAAGTGTCTAACCCCTTCTCTCCACTGGGCATTAAAGCAGCATGTAATGTAATAGCAGTGTTTTACCAATGAGATCCCCTCCAACCGGAAGCGTTTCACATGCGAAACCAGAGAGAAAGTGTTCCACGCTGCTTGTCCCACAAAGTCCCAAAATCTACACAATAGCAAGCAAGGAGAAAGACTGTTGCATGTATTCAAAATGGTCTGGTTTATGTTCTGTTTCTATTGGTTACGGGGGTTTCACAATAAATGACATATGTTTATCTGCATGTGACTTTTATTTAGAAAGTGTCCACAGGTTTTGCACTGCTTTTGTGTTTGTCTTTCTGTCTGGCCCGACCTAAACTGCAGAGTTTCACGTGCTTTGGAAGCATAGCGTGTAAAAATGGACTTGAAATGCAATTATAGCGTTCATTTGCTTTTAAGGCGTGTCCAAAACGTCATACTTTTCTGTTTGTGGAAAGGAATTTGTCCATTATAATGCCTCTTCCCCAGACGGTTCAAGAGCTACTATGAACCAAGGGCTATCGTAGACTCTGCACGATGGTGTTGGATGGTTTTCTTATTAATCTCTAGTTTATTAAACCATAGGGTCAAACTGATTTCACAACCCAGACATCACACAATCTCTCAGATACTTAACAAGGTTTTGCTACATAAGCATCTAGCTTACATTCCATCATTTCATTCATTGTCTGTTATCTTGTACAACTGTCCTTTCATTCATACTTTGTCATGTATAATCATTAGTTTAGAGAAATAGAATTAGACTCATTTTTATAAACTATATCCTTGGCTCTATCAGAATTAATATGACGTGTGTGTTCCCTGAATAGTTCAAAGAACCTAAGGTAAAATTAAATCAAATATTCAAAGACCAATCAGATTGATGATTCATATTTATATGGAATATCACATCTTATTGATCAATTATTATGTGTAGCTAATCCTCACTGCAACATAATACCGGTTATCAGAGGTGTGACCGAGTTACTGCTTTGCAAGTCACAATTAAGTCACAAGTCTTTCCAGTCAAGTCTCGAGTCAAGTCCAAGTCAAAGACAACCAAGTCCAAGTTGAGTCCAAAGTCAAAGATCTGGAAGTCCAAGTCCTTAACTTTGAATTTTCAAGTCATAATCAAGTCATCTGTCCAACTTCAATTTAATGATAATGATAATAAAAATAATTCCAGAAATAATGCTTCTTAAAGCCTAATTTAATTGCTCAAACAATGAGAAAGTGCTACTGAAATTGATTCAGATCAAACCCAGAACGAAGCATGATTTATGATTTTTGTCCATGTTGTGCCACTTTTGTGCTAAATATCAAATATCAAGTACGCTGAAGTCATCATCAAGTCAACAGACGCAAGTCCATTCAAGTGCCAAGTCACCGGCGTTCAAGTCCGAGTCAAGTCGTAAGTCTTTATAGATTTTATCAAGTCAGAAGTCATGAAAATAATGACTCGAGTCCACACCTCTGGTATAATCAATAATGGCGCAGCTACTAGTTTTCGCAGCCTTGTAGCGAAACAGAAACAGTCAAAGATCATAAGAATGATTTCACACTGACTTTGCCCTATTTTACTACATTTAAGATCAAATTAAGCAAATGTGACAAAATGCGAGTCTCAGTATGAATGATAAAATCTAGCAAGTCACACAGAACTGTCCAACTGGTCCAGTCCATCTAACTCTCGAGGCCTCCAACATAACTGTTTTTCTCCAACCTCCTTAGGTTACCAGAAGACACAATTGTTAGAAAGAATTTTAATTTCCAAAATGTAAATTAAATAAATAAATACACTTTGTTTATTTCATAAAAACAAACCTGTTAAAATGGGAAGGGGTGTTTATTTTTTATGTAAACATCATCTCGTGAAACATCCTGGCATTTTAACAGCATCTATCCAGACGTCTCTTACCGGTGTGAAGTTCATGACTTTGAGGATCCAGATGGTCAGCGCCAAGTTGACAATCATGGTGACAAGAAGTAGAAGGATGAAGAAGTACAAGCACCTCTTCCTCCAGCCATAGATGCCGACTGCGGGGTAAACCTGGCCACTGCACTCGGAAGCTCCTCGCTGGTGGAGCGGGTTTGGCTGAGCTGCTAGGATGTACTGCTCCTGGGTCATCTGGAGAAGAATAAAAACAAACAAAAAATAATAAATTACTGACAAATGGAAACAAATGAACTGACATGCCTAGTTCCTTAAATTTTATAGCGTTTTTACTTCTTGTACACCAAAAAATATGGAAACAAAAGTTTCCTCATACAATAGTTCATAAGTTCCATTTTGTTACATAAATTTCATCACTGGTTTCTGTTTTCCCAAATGTAATAAAACATTTGTGCGTTTCTGATATTTCACCCGTTTATTGCCAGAATTCTGATCAAAGCCAGAAAGATAAATACTTTTTATGTGTGTTATGTCCAGAGGAATCATTTTGGGGTGAATCAATACAGCCTTGAAGTGTCACAAATAGGCATAAAATGTTTTTAATATTATATATATATATATATATATATATGTGTGTGTGTGTGTGTGTGTGTGTGTGTGTGTGTGTGTGTGTGTGTGTGTGTGTGTGTGTGTGTGTGTAAAATATGCAATCTAGCTGCAAACAATAAAAACTAAGCATTGAATCTGTGACTGGAACTCAGACAGCATATTAAAAACAATTAAAATATTTAGGCTTATTAGAAAAAAAAACATTTACATGAGAGTCAATGACACACAAAATGATAAAGGAACAGGGATGATATAAAATGTTGTCAGCATTATATTAAATGGAGTAAGGGGGGGGGGGGGGGGAATGCATTCTTTTTTTTTTGTAATTCCCGCAAAATACACATTCTGTGAGAAAATTAGACAGATTGCATTACCACAGCCAAAATCCTTCACTAAAACACACCTGTCTGTACAAAAAATGCACAAGAAGCATATAGAATCTGGTTCAGTTAGGAAAAGTCTGGCATTAGAGCAGAAGACTGAAGAGCAGCAGCTGCATTAAAGTCATTGTGGACATTCTCATAAAGTAATTCGCAAATCTTCCAGATCCAAATTAGTGAAACTAAAAGTATTTAATATTAAGAGGCTATAAAGATTTATTAAACGGCAACAAAAAAGCAATTTCATGGATTAAGATTGAATAAGGCGATGAAATGTCCCAAAACTACACTTTATTCAGCGTATCCAACGATAATTCAAAAATAGAAGAACGTAAAGTTTGGGGCGTTTTGCCGTGGTGGAGAGATGGATGTAAAAAGATAAGAAGAAACATGGAAGAGAAGGAGGGAAAGACTGGAAGCATTTGAGAGCGAGATAGCAGAAGCATGATAAAAATGAGATGGAGGTGAAGCCGTTAAGTGGAAAGATAGAGCAGCTTTGAGTATTGCGAGATAGGAAGGAAGGGTAGAAAAAGGGAGAGAGAGAGGAGATAAGACAGTAGAGGAGGACAGAGTCCATTAGTTGTAGTGCAGCACGAGGAGTCAGTGGCGGTGAGAGATATGGACACTGGCTGCAAGGCACTGCTATCTCTGTCCATCTAACTCTTTCACTCTCCTTTACCTCCTCTCTATACCTAAAGTCTCTATTGCTCCCTCCCCGTACTCTCCTTAATTCACTTCCTATCTCACTTCAGCACTTCTCGCTGTCTTTATCTGTCTCTGCCTCACACACACACACACACACACACACACACACACACACACACACACACGCACACACACACACACACACACACAATTTCTTTATTTGCTCAAATTGCGTGACCTTAGCACCTCACCGACTGTTGATTTTTCTCTCCCCAAACGATACTTTTTTCTCCACATAGCTTCACATGATGACACCAACAAGTCTTGATGGGAACCAATAATTGTCCCTATTACTTTGCCTTGTAGAGGGAAAAAAATCGGATGCAGTTTTGAACTGAAATTTATCTTTCTTTTTTCTATTTTCAGAGGAAGTTGAAATAAAATATCCACCTGCCATCTCTTTCTCCACAGGGGGCCACTTTCTCATTATACAGAAAGTTAAAATCAGACAGTTTAACTGTTAAATAGTTGGAAGTACAGAAACAAACAAAAAAAGTTTCCCGAACCAGGTTCATGGAACTGTTGGAGTTTTTCATGCATGAACGTTAAAATGAGAGCAAATATGTCATTGAAAGGGAAATACATTTTCCTCCAATGAAACCATGGCAGGGGCTGCGCAGTGGAACAGTGGTTAGAGCTGGTGCCTTGCAGCAAGAAGGTCCTGGGTTCGCTTCCCGGCCTGGGATCTTTCTGCATGGAGTTAGCATGTTCTCCCTGTGCATGCGTGGGTTCTCTCCGGGTACTCCGGCTTCCTCCCACAGTCCAAAAACACGACTGTTAGATGATTGGTCTGTCTAAATTGTCCTTAGGTGTGAGTGTGTGTGTGTGCGTGATTGTTTGTCCTGTGTGTCTCTGTGTTGCCCTGCGATGGACTGGCTCCCTTTCAAGGGTGTACCCCGCCTGATTGCCCATTGACCGCTGGAGATAGGCACCAGCCCTGGTGCTAAGCCCACTCAATGTCTCTCTGCAAACAGAGTGTTACCGTGTACTGTGTCAGCCTGCTCCCGTCTCATAGAGCCCCATGCAATTTGATTTGTACACTGCTCAGCATTAGCCAATAGCGTTACACATCCCCTTACATGTCCGCGTCTGAGGAAGTACCTAGACTGATGCAGAGTTGGTGACATTTCTTATGGACAAGTAAACAATGGGTTTTAACTCTGGACATCTAGAGGTGCACATCACGAACTAGAGGTGTTGCTTCCAGCCATAATCACGTAAGTAGGGAGAGGGGCTCAAGGTGCAGTACATTGTCCTGCCTCTAGAGGGTGCTATCTGCATAAAACCTTTGGATTGCTGATTTAAAAGCTAAAAAAAGAGAGTAGTTGCTGACAAATAAATAGGTACAATAAAATAAATAAAACCAGATTTAATTATAGGCACGCCATATGGTGCATGTTGCACTGTTCCTGGATTAAAGAAGATAAATCTGATCTAAATGTGCATGTAGAACAAACATTCAGCATTTTCATCTAAATGTAATTCAGTTCATTTTAAAACAAGCACAGTCTGAAGATGGAACATGAATTAATGTGGAGTAGAGTAACGGATTAATGTTTGTTAAAAAGGTTCATGGACTAAAAACATGCTTACATTTCACAGTGCATGACACCGTTGGTGAGGGTTCTGACCATTCCGTGTTGATGTGAAGGGAATAATTCCATGGTACTGATTTAGTGTTGGGAATTGGAAGGATTTATGGATGAGTTTAATATCATGTGCAGTAGCAGAGTGTGTGTTACCGAGCTGGTATGTTTCAAGTGTGAGTGCTGGAGTTTTCTGTGGTGACCTAGAATGCTCATCATTTTCCTCCAAGCATAAACAGAGAGAATCAATAGGTCTACAACGTGCACGTGTGTGTGTGTGTGTGTGTGTGTGTGTGTGTGTGTGTGTGTGTAGCTCTTGAATGTCTCAAACAACAAGAAGAAGTTGGTCAGAGATCTAATCATATTGATGATAAAAGTTAACAGAATGACATCGTACAGGTCTTGCGTTGTGTGTGGCCTCTTCTGTCACCGTTCAGTCCCTCAATGTTTCTATTGGCTGCACTAATCAGTCACACGTCGCTGTACTCCAGAGTTTGTGTCTTTTGTGTCACCTATCTGGTTGTCGGTAAATCATAAAATACACTTTTAATTATATAAAAAGCTTTTATTGGTCATTTTTTGGCAGTTGCTGTTTCGCAGAAGTGTCATTCTACAGCAGCCATTCAGGGATTCAGAGGTTAATGACGGATGTATCAAAAAGGAACATCAGGTGAACAAACAAAAGCCACCTAATGAACATTTATTGAAAAGAAAGTCTTGTTGAGAAAAATGTTGTTAAGTTATCTTTGAAAGATCAATAAAATCTATTTCCTTTCACTTTGGAAATCGCAAACTTTTCCCAGTTTCCTTTACCCCTCCTGGTGCTTCCCTGACCGATTCCATTTCTGTCTGCCTTTCATCTTTTAGTTAACTAATCTATTTTCCTTCCTTCCTCTACATCCATCCATCCTTCCTTCCCCCTTCCTTCTGATGCACTTTTGAGATTGAACTGACAGCAGGATCATCACTCAATCCCATGGTGGACCACAGAAAGACCTAACTTTATTAACATAATACCTTGACAGCCATAAAAAAAAACAATGGCACAAAGAGCCACATCACCATGGAAACCAATGAAGAATATCAGATTTTTAACACTGATGGTTAGGTTTGCTTTGTTTTTGAGTTAAGCCTGTTAGACACAACATAAACAGGTTGTGTTTGTGAGGTTGGTGACTTAGCACGGTTAGATAACGGTGAGTAGAAGAGGTGAAGAATGCATGTGTAGAGTCGGTGAATGTAGTGCTTTTAAGCTTAATACATTACCTTTACTTATGACCAATAAGCTGTGATACTCTATATAAATATAGAATATTTCTATGATCTGGTGGACTACAATATTTTAACATTTATGTTTATTGCAAACAAAGGGTACGCACCTGCAGGTTTAATCAAACGATTTACAAAAAGACATAGCCAATATGATTTAAAAGGACACGACTTATTTAATATACCTAGACATAGGATACTCATAAAGGAGCGTTGTGTGTCCATATATGGAGTTAAAATGTGGAATAAAGTAAATACTGAAATCAGGAATGCAAAAACAATATTGACTTTCAAAAAAGAGATAAAAAATGAAATGATGAACTTATATAGATCGTTACATAAACGCGTGAGAGGAGGGGGGTTGGGGGGTGAAAGAAAAAAAAGAAATAAAAAAGGGGAAAGGGGGAATGGGTCTGTGTATGCATATGTGTATATATGTAGGTATATTTGTGTACAGCTTTGTGCTTCTTTCTGTGTAACTTGTTTTCTCTCTTTTTTTCGGTTCATGGGTTGGGGTTGTGTCGGCCAGCCAGTCCGGAAACTATATTGTTCTAATTTTTTAAGAATCATGTGATTGTTTCATTTGTATTAATGTTATTTTAGTTAAAAGGGGCAGATAACATAAGTTTTTCTTCTTTCTGTCCCCTTTTTCATTTTGGCTTTTAGCAATTTAGTTTTGTATTTT